TTGCTATCATTATTGCTACTTTAGTCGTTTTTGCTGGTAGGAATAGCCGCATTTGCAATAATGCGAAATTGGCTGCGATTGCGAAAATGTTATTCTTTCTTTCAATGTGACTGCCGCCTTTTTTTAGCTTCGGCGCTCAAAAGTAGCGAAAGCTCCACATTTTATTTTCCTCTGCGTAGCATAGACTAGAGATGGCGAAGTCGTTAGATTGTGATTTTCGGGATTTGCTTGAATTATTATCAAGATGTCGGAAAATTTTAAACAGTGTTTTATACTGGCCGTTTGGAAGGCCTGGGCTCAACATCCAAAAGATATGGAAAATTATTTTGATTAAAAATTGAGTTGAATTTTTTTTATTGCGGTCGCACCTCAGGAATGTCTGCTCCTCCGAGTGTACTTCTGATATGAAATAAAGGCTCCTCATAAAAAACCGTTAGCCGTTCGGAGGCCGCTTACGCTTACGGGCTTCCTCTAGCTTATCATTTGTCTCACAAGTAAGTCATGGGCAATGAATTCCGAATTGGTGTATTCCGTAATATTGATGGATTGTACTGCTGTCCCGGCTACTCTATGCAGACCGGTTTCAACCGATTTACTCTTAGCTATGCAAATCTTAGGTCTGACCTTTTTGCAGCAAAAGATCTTGACACCATTTCAGCGTTAAAAAAGAGCCCCTCGCCTCCGAACCCTTCCTTTGCTAATGTTCGACTTTCAGCGAATTGAGGCGTCCCATTTTTTGCTATGCTTTTAGCTTCACCCTTATGAAGATGGGTGGGCACGGGTTCCACCCACTAAAACAATTCCAAAAATCAAGAGAACTATTTACTCCTTTAAACCAACCAACGAATTAAATACTTTAAAAGAGAATTTCCGAAACTGTTTTTAAAAAATGTAAATCTTTAGCTTTATCTGGTATATCTTGAAAATATACCTAAACTCGGGATTAGCATTACTACGATAGGCATGTGTATAAGTACGAGGCCTGCCTAAAAAGTAAATGCGCTAGCAAATGGGCGTGAAACAAAAGGACAAAACTGGACATTTTGTGAAGCTTTTTTCAGTGTGTGCCGCCAGGCGGAAAGCTGTATCATGCTCATTAACCAAAAAATTGTGGTCACCCCTGGTCATGAAGTCTCAACCCTTCAACGAAGTTTATGAAATTCTTAAATTAACAAGTATATTTTCGAAGAGTGAAAAATTATCTTTACTTTTGAAACAACCCTCTTGTGATATTTTTTTGAACGAATTCGTAAGATGTGTAGGCCAAAAAAACGGTTTGTAGGCGGCGAAGCGTTTGGTGTTATTATCAATCAAACAACTGGAAATTACAAAAACGGCTAAGAATCGAATAAAATTGATTTTCTTTTTTTATTTTTCTGAGAACTTTCGTTTGTGTTGTTATAACAAGAAATTTATAGCAGAACTTTAGGCGCAGACGCTGCTTGCTGGGCAAATGTATGCACTTTTTATCTGTATATAAATGTGCACATACATATGTTGAGAGTGAGGCAGGTAATTGGCGAAATGTCAGGATACAAGGTAATAACAAAAGAAGAGACATACATATATTGAAAATTCAATTTCGATTCGATTTGATTTCATTACTTTCTGTGACATTAACGCATGACAAAAACGAAAGTTTCACATTTTATTTGTGTGCGAAAAAACGTAATAATATTCGGCACTACTACTCCCACTCAAATCAGCAACTTTGCTTTTGCTTTCTTTCAAACTTATTTTTCAAAACTCAAGATTCATTTAAATCCAAACACGCAAATGTTGAAGATTCATTGACAAGCTTAGTTAGCACTTCGTTGGTAGATTTGCATGTATTTTCAGACAGCACGGTACACAAAGACGTCAGCTAGAATTATTCAGAAACCAGATCCAAAAGCTAATTGGCGTAGCGCGCCAGTTGTGTCTTCTTTCCGTTGTTTGGCGCAAATTGGAGTCTAACGCAGCTGAGGTTTTCCTCTTCCTCTGCTTCCACTGGTGACTAGTGAGTCGGAAATTTTGAAAACTGCAAAATCCATATCTTAGTTGGGTCTCTGTGTAGGGGGACAGCCGGTTCTACGCACCGGACTCGTCCCAAATTTTACACGGCCAGCGATTGCCATCCTTTCGGAGACCTAACGTAGTTTAGGCCATCAGGTAATTCTAGTCTGTTTGAAACACTGTTGGGTACGAAACGGCTCTGAGTGCATTCATATTCTCTAATTAATTTTTCCAAATCATTTCCCTACTGAGTCTTTGCAGCTAAATTTTTTTTCATTCATTTTGTGCCATGCTGCAAGTAGACACCATGCGGAGCCACAAACCCATTTAGCCATGAACTAGGTACCTTTCCAGTAGCTAACTAACACATCTATCCCAAATATCCATACACTTTGTAGTTTTCAGTGATATTTTCATAAGAAGAAAAAAAAACATTGCATACAAGTACACACAATATTTTTGCAAAACAAGCATATCGTTTCAGGGACGCATCAAAGCTTCTGGCGACCTGCTGTCGTTGATGGTGGTCTTGTCGCAAAAGTGACCATGCGGGCATGTAATTATCAGCTGTTGGACAACCAACAAAGGATGCCAATGCAAAGCTAACGCATATAATCGAACGCCAAAATGATGGAAAACGAAAAAGTGAAACACGGAAAAGTGTTGGAACGATAACGTGCGGACATAACCGCAGTAACCAACAGACATTTACTATTTATGTGTTGGGTGCGTATGACAACGCCGTTATTGTACAAGCCGGGCAAATGTCGGAAGGTCAGAATCATTCACACGATTCCACTCTCGAGTATATGAAAGAATTGACTTTCATTATACAAATATTAGGTTGTGTTACTACCAGCATAGCGTGGTGCATCTGGTCGTTGAGCACACCACTTGGTATGTTTCGTGTGTACAATGGTGGCAGGCATTGGTTGTTGGCTAACCTCCGACTGACTTCAATTGTTACTGTCGCTGGTCAGTTAGTAGTAGTAAAATTGAAATTAGTTAACAATAAATTGGCAGCTGAGCGGTGTCTATTGGTTGATGGTGTTGTTGTTGTATTGCCTGCTTCTGTCGTTAAAGTGTGAATGCTGTGATGCATGCGCTGCTAATCTCAAACAGAGGTAATTGAGCTTTTCTACCAATCAGCGTTGATTTAAAATGACACTATGACACTCTAACTTTGTTAGTAAAAACAAAAACCAGAGACAATTGTAAACCTCATTAATACCTATATATGTAAATATGTAATAATTTTAAATAAATTAACAAAATCAAACAAATTAAAATTAAACGATATAAAATTAAAAAAATTTTTAATTGCACAAAAGAAACTAAACTAAGATAAAAAACTACAATAGAATAAAATAAGTTAAATAAAATAATATGGCAATAATACAACTGTAAAATAAGTTCAAACAGATAATACAAAATAGAAGAAATAAATAAAATTAATTCAAATGAAGTAAAAAATAAATGAAACGGAATAAAATAAATAAAACAACATAAAATTTAATAAACTCAAAATAGGGAAATGATACTAATTGTATTAATTCAGATAAAAAACACATAATAAAAAAATAATATAAGCAAACATATAACACAAAATTAAATTTAATTATATATAAAAAAGTAAAATAAAATATATTAAAATAAAACAATTGAAACTAAATACAATAAATAAAAGAATATAAAAATATAAAAAATATCACTGAAATATGTTAAGTATGAAGGCAAAATAAATTGGAAAAAAGTAAATAACATAAAAACATACAAAAGAGTAACTAAAAATCAAATAAATAAAACTAAATCAAATGAATTAAATTAAATATATCAAAGCGGGTGGAGAAGAATGTTGACTGTATTAAAATTGAGCAATAGACTCGTTAAAAAACAAGGTCTTTACCCGATACCGTAATAGAATAAGATGGGAAGCAGCAAACAGGTCAGACAGTCAGGTATTTGAACGGGACCATAAGAATTCCATTGCAAACAATAAGCAGTGATCTTTTTAGTATTACATTCATACATATATGCCAGTGAGCAAAATCACAAATAACTGGAAATGATTAGCCAGCGCCTAAAGTTATACAAATATTAGGCTCGTCGCGTAAACAAATGAAATGAAATTTAAATGTAATTAAATTAACATAAGTTGATATAAATTAAATTAAAGTGAATTCAAATTTAAAAAAAGTGAAATATTGTAAAATAAATAAATTAAAATAAAATGAATAATTATAATAAAAAATAAATAAATAATAGCATGGCAAATAAAATAGTATGGAAAATAAAATAGAGAATAATAGAATGTAATGAAATGAAGGAAATTAAATTAAAGCAAAATAATTACAATTAAACCATATATTTTCTCTTTCTTAACAAACAAAATATTTATTTATGTTCAGAAATTATATTATATATATATACGCATATATACCTTTCGCTCCGAGTAAATCACCGTACAGCACAACCAAATATGTTATATGTCATTGAGAGTCATTGATATCTGATTTAACCAAAGCGCCAATGTGTCCAATTAATATGGTTGATTATAAACGCACAATTGGCAGTTTATTACAATCATACCTCTCCTCATGCTCTTAACGACAACAAAATTTTCCACATTAAACCACATCTAAATATCAAATTTTGTGTGTGTGTGCGTGCGCGCGCGCGTGTGTGTGTGTGTGTGTGTGTGTGTTGCAGAGACACACACTCGCTTGTCATTACAGCAACTGTTTGGAAACTTTTTATTTTTTATTAATCGCCAACTACAATACCATCGGCATGGCCCAATAAAAGGGTAGCATACTTCTCTGCTCACAAACTCATCATCATTGGCTGGAAGTAAACTTCCAACCATTCCTCTCTATTCATATAATATTTTGTTGCCTTCATACATACTAAACCCTCCACTTAACTCATAGTTATGTGCTCAGCTTTAAACTTTACTCGATTTTGCCGGGGTATTTTAATGATGTACGTTATCTTTTCTCTTGCAGGTGTCTCGGCTGAACTGTACTATGTGCGCGATGGCCAGGTCAACGATTATGCACTCAACTTTGCCGTTCCTGTGCCAGCTAACGTCAATGAAATCTCATTCACGTGGCAAAGTCTAGCCCATCATCCACTTCCCTACAGTGTCAACATTATCACATCCGAGCCGTTTGTGTTGCCACGGCCAATGTTGAATATTTCCCGTATTGGCGAAATTCCGCTGGAGCCGCAGACTTTCGCTGTCAGTTTGAAATGCTCAGGGACGCGTGACGCCGAAGTGGAAGTTACCATCGCCATTGAAATAATACTGGACCGAAAGACGAACAATATAACAGATTTGATGTTCAGACGCAAAAAAATTTGCCTTGCTGGCCCACAGGATGATAGCCTTCATGGGGGTAGTGGCAACAGTGGCAGTGGTGTTGGTAATATGAATAAGCATATTAATCGCCCGATTGAGGGTATTTTGGAAGATGTTGCAGGTGGTGGTGTTGCGCACGATTCTGAGATGGTTTATGTGGGGAAAACTGCTCATAATGAACATGCGACCAGCGATGACGAACAACACACATTGGATGAAAACTTATTAAGTGGAAGGGGGCAGAGCGGACCAGCAACTATTTTGCATGACTTTGATCCCATGTTAAAGGAGACACTCGCGCCTCCCACCAGTGGCGTCACATCGCTAATTATTGGTTGTATATTAGCTCTGCTGCTGGTAGTGACATTAATTGTTGTAGCCTATTGCGCTAAGGGCCCGACGAAACGCCAAAATCATGGTGTACATCTCATAAAGACTTCAAGCTTTCAACGTTTGCCAACTATATCGTCAACTGCACACAATTCAATCTACGTATGTCCTTCGGTGATCACTCCCACTTACGCAACACTTACACGACCTTTCCGCGAGTATGAACACGAGCCAGAGGAGTTCAATCGACGTCTCAACGAGTTGACTGTGCAAAAATGTCGTGTACGACTATCCAGTTTGGTGCAAGAGGGTACATATGGTCGTATCTATAAGGGCACTTACAATGATTCTCAGGAGGTAATGGTGAAAACTGTCGCTCAACACGCTAACCAAATGCAAGTATCGCTCTTACTGCAAGAGGGTATGATGCTATACGACGCGGCACATCCAAATGTGCTCTCTGTTTTGGGTGTAACTATAGAGGATTTCACCACACCATTTGTGCTTTACCCAGCAGGCAGCAATACGCGCAACCTTAAGTTGTTCCTGCAGGAACCGGCTTATGCGCGAAGTGTCACCACCATACAGACCGTTTTGATGTCCTCACAGTTGGCCATGGCCATGGAACACCTGCATAATCACGGTGTAATACATAAAGATGTTGCGGCTAGGAACTGCGTGTAAGTATTTATTTTGATATATTAAACGTTTGATTAGTAAGTTGAATACTATATAGTAAAGTTAGATTAAGATATCTGAATAAAAATATTATATATTGTCATATGTTTGTTGCTGAAGTTAGATCGAATTAAGCATTTCACATTCGGATAACCAAGATAAGTTCCATTGAGAAGAAAATGAAGAAAGGAACAAAAAATTGTCTCCTTATTAAATAGGTCGAGATATGAGCTGGACAACCCAGAAAATGAATTTGATCTTAGTTATAAACCATAATTGTACAAAGCAAGGCCTTCAAAGGAACTAATGCTACTGGTACATAATATACTCGTATATTTTATGTATAGGCACTTTGGGTGTTCCTCGATTTCGATTAATTATGTATAGTTTGTCAGCTAGAAAAGTTTAGGTAATGCAAACATCATATATACAAACATGTGTCTCCCAAGAGAATTTTCTTAAATTGAAGGCAATGCATTTAGTTATATGGAAGGTAGAACGTTTTATGGATCCCTATACTCTAAATGCGTAGAAAGGAGTATATCTTTGCGAATGGCTGACTCCTCTATTAGGATACTTTCAGTTCGACGAAAGTGGTCAGCATTTCAATAACTATACTATAAAACCGCTGTTTGTGTCGTCTGCTTAAATGTTTTTCTAATAAATTGACGGATGTTTTCGATGGTTTCGAACAAACTGATGGATTTTTAAGATTATTTTTTTTTTCATTTTCAGACAAGCTGGCTGCCGCAGTAATCGAAAGTATGGCAGAGCGCCTAGGCGAGGGTGTTTCTGATTAACAAATGTTGTCTTCTAGCAAAAAAAAAAAACAAAAAAAAATAAATTTATTTGGGGAATATTGCTGCTGAAAGCTGCAGCAATATTAGCATAGCAAATAAAAAATCGTTTTCTAGAAATGGATGCCATGCTGGGCTTAAGGCCGGACATTGAGAGAGAAAATACACAAAATACTATATGCCTTTTTTTCCTGCTGCTGCGATAAAATTTATCAAAGTAGTATCACATACTCTACCTTATACTGTGTCCTGTTGTAACATTACATGTTAAACCAGTGGATTATAGATTTTTACGTAAAAATGTTCTGTTTTTCTTATACAAGTTCAAGCGGTTGTGGGTTGTATTCAGTGTAATAGCATTGCAGCTCAGCGTTAAGGTCAAAGTAAAAAATTGGGGAAAGTCTACAAGACTTTTAAAGAAGTCAATGATTGAGCTCCCATAATGAACATTTTTTCCGAGTGTTGAACTCTATCTAGTTTACCACCAAAAGTTGTTCCCTCCTCATTCCAAGGCTGAAAATAAAATACACAATTTAATCCTACTTTAATCGTTGAATTCAGACACCTAAAGTTGGTTCCTCCGTATTTACGCACATACATAAAAATTCAACTACTTTTAATTCTTTCTTTTTTAGCATTGATGATCAATTACGCGTCAAGTTAACCGACAGCTCATTGAGTCGCGATCTCTTCCCAGGCGATTATAACTGTTTGGGCGATGGTGAAAATCGACCCATTAAATGGATGTCACTGGAAGCCATACAAAAGAAACACTACAACGAGGGCAGTGATGTGTGGTCCTTCGGCGTACTCATGTGGGAGATGTGCACGCTGGGCAAGCTGCCTTACGCCGAGATCGATCCCTACGAAATGGAGCACTACTTAAAAGATGGCTACCGATTGGCACAGCCATACAATTGTCCCGATGAATTGTAAGTCCCAAGAATATAAAATCTTTAGCTGATTAGTCGAGAAAAAAATTAAACCCCTTTTAGTTATTAGAATATGTTGGCTTTTGGGTGTTAATTGTGATTTTTTTTGCTTGTTTTTTCTTTTCATTTGCCTAGATTCACCATAATGGCCTACTGTTGGGCACTACTGCCGACGGAACGTCCGTCGTTTTGCCAATTGCAAATTTGCCTTTCAGAATTCCACACACAAATCACCAGATACGTTTAATCCCGACGCTCCGAAGGGAATTGGTTGCTTGGTTTATTGGATTGTGGATTGTACATACATACACATACGTAATAAGCATTTACATACATAAATAAGTAAGCGAGTTCGCCTTTAAATGAACTCATTAGACTCAAAAACCCAAAGACAGATAATTTTTAGTGAAAAAATGTTGGATAGATTCTTATATATATGTACATATGTACATATATACTTAAGTTTATATATATTTAGAAATATTTGTGTAAACAATCGTGTATGTATATAATTTAGGAGTAACATTATTCTAAAATTTTAAGCTTCATTAATTTGAGCTCGTGGAAAAATTATAATTTATCAAAATACTGGATAAGTTATTTAATGAATAAAGGACGAGCACGCGTGATCAATAAATGGCCAGTCAAAAGTGCCAAATATATAAAAACCAATTTTTGAGTTAAATGTATTAAGCTTTAAACAGAAAGGAACGGAAGTGATGAAGTTATCGTTTCCTAATAGTTCTTTCAAAAGTGGGTCTTTTTAACGCACCCCTTGGAAATGTAAAAAGGATTATATTAGCTTATATAAATATACATACAATACATTAAGTTGAAGGTAGTAGATGTCCGCGTTTAAGCCCCCTCGATGTAACTGTAAAATTTATTAGATAATGACAGTTGAATATCTCTAAGCTAGTAAGCTCATAATTCTTAAGTGCATAATTAATTTATGGATTTACAACTAACTTTAATCCCAATAGTCTAGACTTACTATAAATGCATACAAATGTACACTTTCATATATACATAACTATACTCCTATTGTGTATTCAGTTACTACACTTCCCCACTCAGGTCTAGTTCTTATCCCTTACGCGTACATACTTATATGCATACATACCGATAAATATTGTACATAGGTATAAATTTATGCATGGGTTCATACTAAAGTATACTTGCATGTATCTACATATGTACGTTCTTTATATAATTTCTTTATATAATTTTTCAACCCGTAGTTGCTAATCTGAACTTTAACAAAAATGAAATAAACGTCCAAAATCAATTTATTTTAAAATTATAATTTTTTTCATTTGAAGTGTTTGGTAAGTATAAAAAAAGCTTATCAATCGTAATAAATGGAACAAACATAATGTGACCATACATAATAATGAAATATTTGTTATTATCGCAAGGAGGAGAATAGTGGCAAAGTGTACATCAGTGCGTGTTGATAGTCATTGGGACGCGAAACGTCATGAGTAAACGTCGAAGAGGGGCATTCTTCTTTTCTAACAATAGGAAAGGGCATACAATTTTATTATTAGGAAAGTAACCGCTTTGTAACCGATGAAGCGATTTTTCGGCCGAGCTCCTCCACCAATTGGTGGTTTTGCGCCTTGCTGTTTTTCCAACAAATGAACGGCTGATAGTTTTTTAACGAGGAGCATTTATTTCATGTCCGAAATACACTCGGATGTGGTGAACATTCCCTGCCGAGGGACGACCGCAAATAGATAATTTTACTTAAATTTCTTATTTAAATTAATTTTCCATAACTTTTGGATATTGCTGACACCGGGAATTAAACCCGAGCCTTCCGAGTGTCAGTACGCAATGTTAACCACTCGTCTACTGCGGCCGCCAATATGGAAATAAAAAATACAAGTTTACAAATAAATATATTACAAGTTTACAATTAAATATATTACAAAATAGGGAAACTGAAGACATTTTCGTAATGTGTTTTCTCCTGGTACAGGTCCACGTTTTGAGAAAAATCCGTTTAAGCATTTGAATTACACATAATATTATATATAAAGCATATATCGAAGAGCTCTGTAAGAAGTCCCGAAATTTATTGAATTTATTCTGCAAGGCTGAGGTAACGCCCAATATGTGACAAAAAGCGGTCGAATCGAAGTTTGCTAAAATTCCCGAAGACTTTAGTGATGTAGTTTTTAGCATATAATATTTCACTTTATAATAAAAAAGGAATTTGATAAAAAACAATTGCAACATTGATTCTTGTATTGGTTACAGCCTTCTAAGCGGACTGATTCACATTAAAACATTTGTGCGCTCCAAATTAAACCATTTCGCCGCCTATGTTGAGATGTCAATTGTTCTAAGAGCACATTTCATTTGAAGTACTCGCCTTTTATGTAATTCACTAAATTTCTATGGTAGTATAAATAGTTATTTAACATCGACTTCTGTTTTTCATGAAACCGAAAATTACGTACGTCATGCGGACATCGCCCCTCGTGTCCGTTGGATTATAGGGTAAGTGCTTGACGCAGGCAACAGCTGATGTATCAATAGTTATCAATGGTTAAAAGTTAAGTTAAATCTGCAGAGGTAAATATTTAATATAATCTTCCCTTTATATAATAGAATAAAATATACTAAAATAAAAAGAACGTTTTGAAAATACCAATTTTTTATTCACATTCGGACATTATCTCCATATTCGGTTTTGAGTTGGTTTTGCCAATCCTCACACGCTTAAGCGGCTAACCCATGTATATTCAGTGTCCTGTGTCTCCTGCATTTTTTTAATTTTTTTTTTTAATTGTATCCCCTTTTATGCTTAAGGCTTCCATATTCGAAGTCCAAATCTCCCTAGTAAGTGGCCACCGAGTGACTTCTAATTCCGCAACCCGCCCCTTTATTATGAGAATTGGTCATACATATTTAAATAAATAATTTAATAATAATAGTTGTGTGCATCTTGGTGTTTTTAAAACAAATGGAGGGAATACTGTTAATACTTACCCGCCTCCGAACGGTTGATGGTTTTTTATGAGAAGACTTTATTTCATGTCCCTGAGCCGAGGTCTTCAGAATGGCAGTGAGTAAATATATTTTATTGAAAAAAATTTTAGGTAAAAAAAGATGGCATACACAATTTATAATAAGGCTGTCATTTAAAAGACGATCGTGAATAAGAAATCGTAAAATGACGTGTGAATACCAGAAACATTCACCTGACTGAATTTCATTACACGTATTATGCATAGTTAAGAATATAAACACGACCAATAATCGGTAAGTGACAAGTGACTAGTAGCATGAAAACCAAACAAAGTTGTTCCAATATTTGATACTGATTTTAAAACGATCAACTATCTTTCTTTTTTTGCGTGTTCCAGCCATTTAGGGTTAAAATTTAATCGTTTTTATGCTAACAGAATATTCACAACAACGTAAAAATTTATTTAAACATTTTAAAATTTTTTTTAAGCCGTTACTCACGGTATGCTACAGTCACCCTAACTGAATTTCCAAAGATCCGTGCAGTTCAACGCTACAAGTGAAACTATTCAGCTATTGTTCATCTAAACACTGAACAAGGAAAAAAAATATATGGCAAAAATTATAAGTAGTGGGGTGCAAGCATTGAAATCCATGCTGTGTTAAACTATTTATTACGGCTACTAGTAAAATACTTCGCCAGTCGTTTGGCCCGGATAAGGGAGGTCTTAAGACCCGAGCAAACTCTTGCAGGACCCAGAGGGGTGATCTAGTGTTGGATGCCAAGAGTATTCTAAATTTATTGAGGGAACACTTCTCCAGCCTGCTGAATGGTAGTGAAAATGATACAACAGGATATGGTGAGCCAGAAATTACAACCGCAGGCAACAGCCGTTCCATTACCTGACCATGTCGAAGTTCGAATAGCGATTGCCCGCCTAAAACACAATAAAACTGCTGGGGCTGACAACCTACCGGCAGAGCTATTGAAACATGGCGGTGAAGAGCTGGCAAGGTGTATTCATCAGCTTGCTAGCAAAATATGGTCATTTGAAAACATGCTCAACGATTGCAACCTTAATGATCTTTGACCAATCCATAAAATGGGCGACCCCACAGTCTGCGACAATTACGGTGGGATAGGCTTCCTCAACCTATTAATAACTCAGAACTAGAGCGTTCTATGTAGTTTAATCATACCATTGCACAGTGGGTAATGGAACAATAATTAATTTCTTAGTAACAAAAAAACTTAGCATGTGAGGAGCCAACATTAGTATACGATAACATAAAATTATAATTACAGCTTTTGTGGGTTTATCTTCATCACGTTTTCAAAAGATTTTCTGTCTTATTCTGTCTTATTTCTTTAATTAAAAATTTTAAATCTGCATAGGAAAATTATCCTCATAATTTTCTCTTTTAAATTGGTCCTTTTTTGCCAAAGCGCAATAAGTTTTGCTTACAATTTAAGTTTTGTGTCATTAATTTTCTAAACCGTCGTATTCCAATCCCAACGTTGCATTTTGACATTTGTCAAATTTAACTGTTAGAACAAACTCAGTTTGTATTAGTTAAAAGTCAGGCATTCATGAAAATAGTTCACACCGCACAACGCGTTAAAATTGCTAAAACCTTTTTCAAAAATAGTGACTCAAACGTGACCTCGCTTCGTGCTTATAATCGTCTATTCAAGCAACTGGAGAAATTCAGAGAAATTTGAAGAGATTTATTTTTTGTTTCCCATATAACTCCAAGATTGAAAGCTTAGTAGTAGAAAGAAATCCATTATTTATCTAATAGAAAACGTTATTTATCTGCATCTCGCTATCTTTTATCCGATCGGGTTCCGCTAGGCTGAGTTAAAAAGATGGCATTTTGTTTTAAAAAAAACTTTTCTGACAGTTTTGTGATTTATTGATTCAGTTTTGTTTGAGCGTGCGTCAAAGATGGGTACTAGAAGAGAGAAAATACACTATATCTTACTGTGTTTTTTCGATGAGGCTCCTGCAAAATCGAATAGAATTTATGGTCCTTATATTGTTACAGTCAATCATGCACATTTTCGGTGTCATATCGGTAATTTTAATGTAAAAGATAGGGCGAGCTCCAAAACGTCAAAATACTACAAATATTGCCTCGCAGCAATACTTTGCAAACTCTAAAATAATGTTTAAAAAAAATAATTAGCGCAAAAAACTTGCCCTCCGGCATCGGGAGTTATTGCGAAGGCTTTGTGATAAAATAAAGCATCAAAAACCTTAACAATGCGCAGTTTGCTTTTGTTTGCGCTTCAATCATTTTACCGATGCATTTTGGTTCATGATAAATCATCAAATTTTGCACAGTTGCTTTGCAACTGATGTTTTAGAAAACACCCATACTTCACGAAGTGGAAGGTCAATTGTCGAAAATGTCGATAAAATATTGACATTGTCGAGTCCGACCTCATGTAAGCACTGTTTCGATTGCTCAAGAGCTAAAGATTGCACAAAAAACCGTTTGGAACCATTTGAGTACAAAAATTATAGACTTCAATTTCATGCAAAAACAATGGATCTTTTTTAGTATAACTAATATAAAAAGAGAATTCCATGAAAATATTAATTTAAGCTTTTTTATGGATTTGCATCAGAAATATTAAAAACACCAAATTACCTTTGTCAGGTGCTGACATCTACCCTCAAACTATGATGTATTCTTTACCGTTTTTGACTGTGGGTATCAAGTTATATTCTTTCATCTATATATTAGCACACCTCCATATATTTATTACCTACACTATTTTGACATAGTAGTCTTCGACTGATACTCACCGCGAGTGGACGTATTTTTAGACTGGTGCTATTTTCTGTGGTTGCTCAGTTCTCCGCATGTTCCTTAATGCTACTCTTGTGTACGTGAATTTATACTTCAAACGGTGCACACGTAATTTCTTGGTGACTGCTTACGCAAAAAAAATATTTCCCCAATGGCTCCCGGGGCCGCCAAATTTTGGGGCAATAGGTTCGCTTCGCTAGATGAAAGTCCTCTAGCCGCAAAAAGACAATATACTGTATACAATATATAATTTCTGAAAACCAAACAGGAAAATCCAAAATTTATTACCATATAGACAGTTGATTCGACTAAACAATTAGCAATGTACTCATGTTTTGCAGTTCATAAAGTATTAGAAGCGGTAACCAAAGGAATGATTTCCATTTCTGAGCTACGTGATAGCAATTTGCTGTTACTAGTGAAAATCCCAACCGTTACACAAAAATTCTTAGCTATGAAGGGATTGAAGGGAATATGCAAAGTCTCACGATAACCTGAATTTTTCAAAAGGTCAATATATTCACCTCGATGATGCCCCTGAAAAAGAAATTATAGAAGAATTTTGAAAAATCAAGGTGTAGTAGGAGTATAGAAGTTTAAAAAAAATGTGGACAATACCCTGCAACATACCGGAGTACGACTTCTCACATTTGACTTGTATAAATTACCCGAAAAAGTAGAGGATTCTTGACGCCCAGCCCGTGCAAAATCCCATAAGATGAAAGTAATATCCCATTAAGATATGCAACAACAAAGCTGCTTGTAACTTCCCTCCCAAAGGTTTATAACAATGTTTATGCACTTTATACGCTAATTGTGTCGGTGACCACCCATATTCTTCGAGCACGTGCAAGAGGTACATTCAAACAAAACAGATTCCCAAAATCAAAACTGTCAAACTACACAAAGCACAAGCGCCAAATCTACCACACATATCTTTCACCAAAATAATAAAGCAAGATCATGAGAACAAATGCAAGAACTCTAAAAATACTACTGCAAACGTCCTTCTTTAAGTCCCAATAGCGACTTACACCCCCCATCAACCTCCTGTATGATTTAAAATCAAATGAAACTCCACAAAATAGCAACACCCAACCTTTTTTTTTGTTAGTTTAATAAAAAAAAAAAACATTCCACAAAAAGACTTACCAACCCATTCAAATATCGCTTTGTTAGCTATTTAGGTATCTACAGAATTTAAAGTTACGATTTTTTGTCTGTATATAACCCCACAACAAAGATTTATGCGTGCTGAACTCGGGTACATTTTAACGTCTGCACCAAAACTCGTTGTCCTTGTCGGAGATTTAAACTCGTGGTCCACAAAAAGGCTTGGTACTGGAAGATTTAGTTCTTAGAATCGCTCCAAAAGGGTCTGTATTCTAGCGGCTCAAACTTTAGTTTAGCTTTTGTAGCAAAGATAAATGAAACACTAAGTAACAGTAATAATCAGTCAAACTCCACAGCTAAAATAATAGAATCAGAGATCACTTATCCAGATGTCGATAGTACTATTTTTTCACTGTTTGGAAAAACTCCCGTCCATGATATAATTAATTATAATATTCCAAAAAAAATTGCCTTGTGACCTGAAATTACGATTAATCAATTTATACAATAATATTTTAACTACCGAAATTTATCCGATGATACTCCGGAGTAAGTTACTCGAAAAAATTGATATATTACCAAACGCTCGTTTAATTAGTCCACATCAGGTCTCTTTCAAGGAAGGAGAAGGAACTTCCAATGCTCTCCTACTTTTTAAAAGCTTCGTATCAAATATTTTGTGCCCTGCAGCCATATATCTAATATTCCATTTTATCAAGTCATTTCTCATCAATCAAAAATTCAAAAGAAAATTTTATAACGCGGTAGGGAATGTCAACCCCTCCGAGTGTATTTCGGACATGAAATAAAGCTCCCGAAATCGCTTGAGCGGTTACAAAGCGTCAATTATTGTATGTTTATAATAGAATGAAGTCGCACAAGGATCCCCCTTTCTGTTATGTTATTTGCTTTTGTTTTCTACGAAATGAGCCGCATAATTGCCAAACATAAAAACATTTCACACATTATCTATGTGGATGACATCTTACTCTATTATAAAAAAAGTAATTTAAACACTGTTAAAAATAAATATCTATATGTATATCCAACTGGACAATTTGCTGACATAAATGCCGTAAACATAAATGTACCGTTCATAATAATATCAACATTGTAAACGTACTT